ACCAAAAGAGAAACAACAAATGCCAAATGCTTCGACACATCTCCAAACAGCCATTCAAGTCAAGAAAGACTGGACATTGCCCTGGTGGGATCAGTTCTTGATACTGTCCAAAAGAACATATAAAGAAAGACGTAGAGATTATTTCGACAAGTTACGCTTGGTTCAGGCACTTGGAGTTGCCATCCTCCTAGGCCTTCTTTGGTGGAAATCTGTTACTACCACTGAGGCTCAGCTTAGAGATCAGGCAATCTCTTACTTTATACTTTCTTGTTCCACCACATTACACTAACTTTTTAAGAGCCACACAACCTCAACTTCCCTCCCTGAACTGCAGATTGGTTTGATATTCTACATTTGTATTTTCTGGACTTCTTCATCTATCTTTGGAGCGGTCTATGTTTTCCCGTTTGAGAAGATATATCTGGTGAAGGAGAGGAAAGCAGACATGTACAGATTAAGTGTGTACTATGTCTGCAGCACTTTGTGTGACATGGTTGCTCATGTCACATACCCTACTTTGTTCATGTCCATTCTTTATTTCATGGTTGGCTTCAAAAGAACGGTCCAGTGCTTTTTCCTCACGTTATCTGCAATCCTCCTGATTGCAGTCACCAGCCAAGTAAGTAGATATTAAAGACGTTTTTTCCTTGCCGTGTTCTCTAATGTGGTCAGGTCTGAGACAGTTTTGCGTGTAATATCAAGTGTTTGGTACTGACATAAGCGTGAAGAGAACAAGTCCATGTAACTTCTATTAGCAATTCTACTATTCATATATTGGATATTAAATACTTGCTTAGTAATATCCTTGCAAGTATCATATTGTTGTTCACTTTTCAAATCACTTTCCCTTTCCTATGGTGTGGACTAGTGTCTGATGTAAACCCCTATATGGCCATATACTCTATTTATTATTATCATTAACACAATCTAATCAATATAGTTGTTCATTACATTATACATCTTTGACACCTTCAGAATTTTGACAATGCTATGACTTTTCGTGTGTTGATTACACTTTTGTTAACTAGGGGGCAGGAGAGTTGTTTGGAGCTACAGTGATGAGCATTAGAAGGGCAGGAACATTAGCTTCTTTAGTATTGTTGTTGTTTCTACTTACAGGAGGCTATTATGTTCAGGTACTACTGAATATGAACTCTGCATAGAGTATAAACTGAAGTCTGTATTCCAGTCACTAATAATAGTATACTTTAACTCCAAACTAATTTTCAAGGTGTATAATTTGTACAGCACATACCAAAATTCATGAGGTGGCTAAAGTATGTGTCATTCATGTACTACGGTTTTAGGCTTCTGTTAAAAGTGCAATATGACGGGGATGAGTTGTACGAGTGTGGAAGTGAAGGAGGGTGTAAGACTCTACAAAGTTCACCTTCATTTGACACCGTGAATCTCAATGGCGGCCTAAGGGAAGTTTGGGTTCTACTTGCCATGGCTGTTGCTTATAGATTGTGTGCATACTTTTGCCTTCGAAGAAATGTTAATATATGCAGTCTTTGACTCTTGAAGTCTTTGTGTACAGAGCAAAAGCTATTATTGCAATGAGAAAAGACCTGAGTTCCTTTAAGAAAATTATATATATAGACACCACATTTTAGTGGCAACAAAATTGAGCATTACTTTGTTTGAGTGGGACGAAAGAACATAGACTATGAAATTTCTCTGATAATTAATAGTTTACACAGTTTCTGGTTGTTGGCCTCTAATTGCCAACAGAGTGAATGGACTGGGAGTGGAACAAATCTCAGTTCCCAGCCCTAACTTGCAATGCTTTTTGTTCTGCGAAATGGTGATTGCCTCACCAGAAACTAGACATGCTATTCTGGTTCATACACATATAGGCTGCATTTGTTTTTTGGCGGATGGGAAAAAATGCTATCCCAACACATTGCTTTTTGTAGCGTTTTAGGTTCAACGGATAGCTTCAGTCCTAGCCCTAAACTCCCCACTGCCTAAGATGGTTTGGAAACACAGATACCAATTGGGAATTGAGGCCAACGGTCCACCCTTGCATACCAGAACATTACCACTAACCATTCCCTAGATTCCACTAGGAAAGAATCGACTGCTAACCCAAAAAGGTAATGTCAAGACTTGAAGGAAACTCTATGAAGCATACTAGACTACTAGAGTACTAGACGCTAGAGAAGAACCAGTTCAAGAACCAAACCAGATCCATACCGACCATACGAGTAAAGAACCGAGTTAGTTGACTGGATTCTTGTTCTTGGTCGAAACTGGCACCCATAACCAGTACAACCATTTTGATCACTCCAATTAAATATTAGGCCAAATTCGAAAGGTTCTAATTTTATATTTTCTTTATTTACAAAAATGAACCATTATGAGAACTGTTTTACCCAGAGTCGGGCCAAAGCCATGTAACGCCCCTCTCAGGGTTAAAGGAAACGCTACACTAGCATACTACTTTTAAAAATAAGTGCAATATAACGGCCGTTTGTTTAAGAAATAACCCTGATAAAATCTCAAACATAACTAAATTATAGCTCCAAATAAAAACTCAATAAAATCTAGTTATCACCAGAAAATGTGATAACCACCTGGATCTAGGAATTTACTGAACTTCAAATCCTCAAATAAAAATAAAGTAATATTTATCACTTTATTATAACACTGAAATACTGAAAACTAAATAATATCTAGCTAGAAGCCGCCAAGGTCGTTCCCGTTAACTCATCTTGGCACGCGTTCCACTCTCTCATCATCTTCCTCGGCCTGGGCCTTACCCTTAGCTTTAGTATCTGTACATGCGAAGAAACAAAACTGATAAGCTTTACGCTTAGTAAGTCACTATGGCTCCACAAAAATATATAGAAGTCTATGCCAATTTATCAATAGATAAATTTAGGCTATAAGCATGCACTGAACAAATAACTAACACACAGCTTCTCAAATACATTCTGAGGGAGATCTCAAAAGGAAAATATTTTCTAAAATAATTTTTCAAAACTGTCGGAGAGATCTCAAAATTTCTTTCTCAAAACATCTCTGTAAAACTTTCTGAAAGAGATCTCAAAAACAACTTTCTGTAAAACTTTCTGAAAGAGATCCCATAAACTTTCCGTAAACTGTTTGTGGCTAATTTTACTCTGTGGGCCCGTGATATGTACCCAAAGGCGCCAATCCGACAGCTCAGGGGAGCGACCCACTAAACATATCGGACTCTCTGAAACTCTGAAACTCTGATTACTCTGTGGGAACTTGTTCCCGGGTACATATCACTTAATCTTTCACTTTAAATATTAGTTCTTTTTATAGTGTTGTTTGGATAACAACATCATTAAATCAGAAAATAAAAATACTGACAAACTCTTGATTATGCCAGATAATAATCATCACTTAATACAACAAATAAAATAACTCAGCAAATAACTCACCAAGTTCACATAATAGCAAATAGACTAAAATCATCTATTAAAAATCAACAAGACTTCTTTCTTTTATTTGGTTGAACAAACATGTACAGGTGGTAGTGAACTTACCTGTTAGCAGCTAAACTCAAAATACTCAGACAAGTGTGGCACCTTGATAACGTCTTCCGGTAAGCTCTTCTTTGAAATCTTTAATTAGATGTAATAAAATCATTACAAATCTGATGTCTAAACCATATTTGACTACTTCCAGTAAGCTTAGAATATATAAATTAACTAGTTGATTTTCTTTTAACTGAAATTAGCAGCAACCACTAGTCAGATTTGCCTCAGGACATCTACTATAAAAATTATATGTATAATGCAGACCCCATTCAACAGTAAAACAAATAAAATGTGGTTGCACTAGTGAAATTCAAAAATCCATTAGTAAATCTCTGAAACCAAGTTTCGTATGAGACTAAATTGCTGCTCATGTTTTGAATCAAACTAAGTAGGCCGCTTAACTGATTTAAACCCAATAAGAACAAAATTGAATCTTCTAAATCTCAGGCTTACTATGGAACACCTTAAAAACAGTATTTTAGTCTTGTAAGACTTCTGTTGAGGTTAAAAGAAATACGTAGTACCTACCCTACTTAACTTGCTTCTGGAAGGAAAGGTTAGGAACTCTATGGGAGATTTTAAATTATGGGCTGCTCACAGTAGAAACATCACTTGGTAAAACAATTTTAAAAAAAAAAACGAATTCAATTGAAAGAACAAAATTGTGGGAATGTAATAAATTTACAAGGAAACCTATACACTATTATCTATGTGTGAGTCTTCCAAAATCAGTCTGACACCAGGATAAACAAATCAATTTAGCTAAATCGAAGCTTTGTTAACCTGACCAATAGAATGATAGAATCCTTACAAAAACTCGTGCCTCTAAACCATACTGATAGAACCATATAAGTAGATAGAATACACATGGAAATTTCAACTTACCAGGGTTCAAAATCAAGAGACTCAAAGACACAGATTTGAAAGTGAAGTAAAGTCTTGGGAGAGAACACCCGAGAGGAGCCGCCATCAAGGTTAGGGAAGACGCAGGTTACTTTCTACGGTCTTAGACATATGCGTATAATAGCATTAATCTTAGGGCTTTAATTATAAAAAGATACTTATTTGGGCTAAAATAACTAATTTGGGTCTCTTAGTCTTCTAAGAAAATACTTGTGACCCAACTAAATAATAATATGTTCCCTTTCAATAATATACTAAATAGATATTAAAATAGTATTTATTTCTTCGATTAAAATTATAATGAGCTTACCGGTCCACGTTACCTGCCAAAAAAAACATGTTTACTAATATATCACATTGTTCATTGGAGAAACTTATTCAATTGACTAAAATAAATAATAATGAGAAATAATTAAAATAACTAGCTCATAAAAATTGGGGTGTTACAACCAGCCCAAGTCAAACCCTATTAGACGCCTCAATGACAACTTTTTAAACAGATGAAATGTGTTCCACCAAGAGCACTATAACTGATGTACAAAAAAGTTGTCTATTGTGGGCTGAAACTCAAGAAAAGGGTATTGCGTAAATGTTTATTTAAAGTAATTCTTTTCCCCATTTAGACTACCCCATAATAGTAAACTAGTGATGACATGTCCTTGGCAAGCTCAAATTGCGAATTAATCACATTCATTTAAACAAAGAGGATTGTACAAGCATGGAATCTGTGATATCATTTCATATATTTGTGCAGAAACTTGCGATGGAAGTCATTCCGAATGGTGTCATTGATAAAGCGCTTCTGAGCTTTTGTTTCTCCCCTAGTCTGGTTCTTGAAGACCACATCATCGTCCCACCTAAGTAAAACAACAGATTATATAAATCATAAAAAATTAATTAATTAAAATCAAATCTAAAATAATCTAAGAGCAAGAGAATTGACCTTCTCTTCACATTAAAGGATGTTGGCTGGTTTATGAGAGGATTTCCTCTTAAGAGTTCTGCTTCCTTGGCTTTGAGATCTTCTTCTAGTTGTTGCCGTTCCTGCAAGCAGCACAAACTTCATTACAGCTAAGGAAGAAGGATAAGGTGGCAGTGTTCTTTAATCACCACACTACTCATGGAACTTAATATATAAGGATAAACCAGAGTATGAAGTCTTACATCAATTGATTAAAAAACAAAGACTAGAAAACTTACTTTTCTCATTTTTTCATCTGCCCTTTCTTTTTTTATCTGACCAAGCTCAGCCAAGAGAGCTTCCATGTCATCCTCATCTTCATCTTCATCTTCATCACTATACAGTGGGCAAAATAGATATTTTATAACACCATATTGAAAGTATAAAAAATGTGAAGGATTTTATAACACATCACTATACAGCTGGCTCAGCACTTCTTTTAAATTGTGAGACATGAAGAGAGACATAAAATCATACTCCCTCCGTCCCGTAAACAACTTGTCACTTTCTTTTTTGGGCAGTCCCGAAATTAACTTCACACTTCAAAACTTTCTTTATTTGGCAAATTTTCTATATCAAAACAGTGCCAAACAGTGTTTAAACAGTGCAAAACAGTACTCCACAATAAAGTCAAATTTATTTTCTTAATCTGTGTGAAGTCAAAGTGTGAAGTTAATTGCGGGACGGAGGGAGTATATAACTTGATTGATGAACACTTGATATCACATACGAGTATCATTTACAGCTGAATATAGAAAAAAAACATTTTCAAAATAAAATCAATTGGATGTACATGATTAGTGGACAGTGGCAAAAGAGAGCATGACAAGGGAGAAATTTTTTGGTGCCACCAGAATGAGGTTAGCCAACCCAAATCACTCGGTGTTCAGGACAGCATGTCAGGGGGGAAAACTAATGATAACATGACACTTGCCTTTCATCATCACTTTTGGCATCCACATCTGCATCATCAGCATCCGCACTACGTGGAACAATTCGATCTTCACTCTCTCTTTTAGAACCTGTTTGCATGACATCACCATTTGATGAAACATAATTCAAGGTTCTCAATTATAAAACAAACTCATAAGACAAACAAGTATCACTCGCCTTCTAAAAGAAGATGGCTACTCTTTCGGCGATCCCTGTCCTCTGCAACAAGAAAATCAGGAGTTTAACAGGTCAACTACATCATCTACCTTGACAATAAATGTGTCTTCATTGTGGTGGGTTGGGGTGGAATGTGATGAGAAGGAGAAGATAGGCTCTACAAACCATTGTAGCCCTTGTCCCTTGAAGAGAAGTGCCTTGATTCACGCTGTTCAAGTTCCTCTCTGAGGTTCCTCTTCTTCAATTCATCCTGAGTTTCCTGTCCTTCCTTTCTGCGCAGCAACATAACCAATCAAATTATGAAATTACCAGCTAAATTTATGCATAGTGAAGCCTGCACCACATAGTCCCAATATCGAAAAGTAAAACCAAATCCATGATTTTAACTCTAGGAGATAAAATTACAGCTGCTATTAAATAGGAGTAGATAAAATTGGTAGAACTCTGTTAGAACACAGTATAATGCACTCAACAATTACAGCTGCATAGACATTTATACCTTTAACCTCCCTCCACCACCACAACTAAAAAAAAAAACACTAAAAAAACATTGAGTTCAAGTAAAAACCTTGGCTTCAAGGTTGTATGAGATGCCATGTCTCTAGATGAGTATTTCTGAGAAGGGCCGAAAATCCGAGTCCCTCCTTGCTCACTGCCACCCTTAGCAGGGGCCCAAGTAGGTCTAGCTGCTGTCGTCATGTCGTCTAACTGCAGAAACAAAGGAATTGTAAGAACCCAGGCAAAAACATTCTTACTAGGAACCACAAAATCAAAATTAACTGGTTCATAAGGATGAGGGTTTTTTTCTTTTTTCTTTTTGTACTTCGTATTCAATAAATAACATACACAAAAGTTCAAGTCGGCCGTAGAATAAATGAGAATAAATGAGCTGCCGGAGTTGGACAGATGGTTATGCTTCCGTTTCAAGAAGTAATTATGAGTTTTTCTGTTTTGATGAGCTATGCACTTCTATACAAAACTTGGCAAAATTTTGGACAAAATACTCTGAGAATCTCGGGATAAACTGATAATGGTTGTGGTGCAGTTGAAAGCTCAATATATCCTTCTACTCCCACAAATGTGATCTCAGAAATTGCAAAAAAAATAATCCGGATAAGTAATGGTCAGTGTAATAACACTGAGACTGCAATTCACAAACCAAACATAATTCTATTGTATCGAGTTTGTTCAATTTCTAAGCATCGTTCTTTTTTCGAAAAGGATCCCAAGTTATTACGACACAGCAGAAAGAATAAAGAATACAAAGCAAAGAACAGACAACCAATTTCAGAGGCCAAATCAAATTTTACAACGGGAAAACATCTCTAAAGCTGGGATGAAAGTTATAATAGAAAATAATATTAAAGAACAAAGATAGAAGGAAAAATTTTGTAATAAAATACATAGTACCGAGAAGATGGGAGGACGCTGGTTCCTATTAACCTGTGCTTGCTGTTCTTCCTGTCGTACCTCTTCTCTCCCCGCTTTCAAGTTTCAACTATCCTTTATGTTCTTTTTTGCTTCAAAATTGCTCCACCTCAGAGGCTCAAACTAGAATATTTCAGAATTTCAAAATTAAAATGTATTTCCATATCACTAATTAGTTCTCTTACCTTAAAACTTTGTCAACTTTTCTTTTTAGGGTATCCTATTAACTTTGTCACTTTTCTTTTTAGGTAAAGAATCTGTGGTTTCAATTAACTCTCCCTCTTCTGCACAAACTTCAATCACACAATTTTTATTTTATTAATCTCCGTGCTGATCAAATTTTGCAAAATTTTAAGGAACGGAGAGAGTATCAAATTTTAAACATACAACCCGGGACTTGGAATTGTAAAATCGGAAAAACCAATCTGAACTGAACCAAATTATACGGTTTGGTTTAGTTCCTATATTCTGTTGATATGTTGTTATTTGTGCATCGTAAATTACTAATATTATCAGTCAGTTCATTACTACGTACTTTTTACTTATGGTGCAATACTAGAGTACAAGAATATTATTTTGGGGTTGAACTACCTGCTATTGGATGTGTATCTTGAAGCTATTAAATCTTTTTTCTTGGCAGTTGGTGTCTAATTTAAACTGTTATGTTTTTGTTAAGTTTAAAGTTAATGTTTGCACATGAATATTTTTGTGATATTTGATCATTGGAGTATCATGTATGCATAGTGCAATGGTCATAATTTCAATAATTATTTTCATGCTTTGAAATTTAAATTTTTTATGTAACTGAAGGTAAAATGTGTTCATTTTAGGAGAATAATAATTTTTTATAAGGAACCGAAAAAAGGGTGAGAGCCGAATTGAATTTAACTAGAACTGAACCAAATTTAACAACTACATTTTTTCTAGAACCGAATTCAGCGCCTATAATTTTTAATACGGTTCCATGGAATTTTAACCAAAACCGAATCGATCTCATGCCTAGAACATACTAGGTATTAGGATGTTTTTGCTTGGACTATTTTCATTCCTAGATTAGACCAGACTTAAACAGCACAAATCAAACCAGAGCAGACTTAAACAGACCAGACCCGATCAGTCTAGTCTTGCATAGTTATAAAATACACTGAGACCGGACATTTACCATACCAGACCAGTTATGACCAAATCAGACCAGACATAAACAGTTCAGACCGGACCAGACAAACAAATTTCAATCCAAGCAAAGATATCCTTACACCTATTTAGAAGAAAACTATATCAATCTATCTCAAGCGCTTTTAAACAAACGGTTCCTGTTAAAAAAAATCCTTACATATGACCAAAACATAAACAAAGTGCATATGTTGAACTGCCATTGTTTTCTTCCTGAACTAATACATAGTGAAAAAACTATAAATGATACGAGTACTTCCTAACCTAATTATACTTCTTTTCTAAAAAAACCTAATTATACTTCTACCAAAACATAGAGTACGAGCAAAAGAACCTCATTTTCTGTTTGGCACAACTAGCTGAAAAGACATTTTTATGAGCTTAAATGTTACTACTTCCGTCCCTTTTATATTGTGACGGAAGAGAGTGACACAATTTTTAAGAAAAGTGAGTTTGTGTGGTTGATATTAATTGATAAAGTAAGAATAAAGTAAGAATGATTTAGAACCACACAAACTTTACCAAATATGGTATGAGACAATTTAAAAGGGGACATCCCGAAAAGGTAAAACGGGACAATATAAAGGGGACGGAGGGAGTAGTTTTTAGTGATTGAAAATAACTTAAAAGAACAATGTGTAGTTGTTTGATGAAAATTTGACTGTTTGATGTAGTTCCGTTTGGTATCCAAGTTGTTGGCAGTAATTAATGCTCAAAGTTACTAGACTTCTTCTAAGATGCTATTCAGTGTAACACCTCAAAAAGATCTTTTATTTTAAAAAAGCTTTTAAAAGTTTCATGTTAAACATACAACCAAAAGTTTTTAAACTTTTAAAATAGTACAAAAGCTCAAAAATAGGGACTTATGTCTACTAAACATGAACATATTAAAGAGTTAGAGAATTAAGTGATTTGCACTATTAATGTATGTTTAAGTAAAAGTTAAAATCTTTTATGTCAAAAGTGACATTTTTTTTGACACTTTTTTAAAAAATCTATAAGTTATTTTTCAAAATTAAACTTAATGAACAAACTACTACACTACGGCTAATTTAATTTATAGAGAGTACTTTGATTTCATATGTTTGACGGGTTCAGTTATATTCTACACATCTCTCGAGACACGTCCACAAAGGATCAACGCCCATATTAAAGGAGAATGTCACCTACAAATACTCGGGGAAGGATCTATATATGAGCTATGGTGGGATGAAACGCAGGGTGACTTAATTTTTTTCAATGTTTTCAGTGTAAATTTTTTCGTTTTTATATTCAGCCCACTCCGATGATGTTTAAGTTCAGTATAATTATTCTTCTGCATATGGCATCTCATATTTCTGGATCCCCGCTTACCATGAGAATATCACACATAGGGCTACGGGCCTGTAGTTCAGTGTTATATGGACTTAAGGTGGGTGGATACACAAAAATTGTGGGTACTTTAGTTAGGTACTGAAATATCAAACCCCACGTGGCAAATTAATTTTGTGGGTGGATACACAAAAAATCAATGCACAAAGTACGCCTAAATTATGCTCCTCCAATTATATAAAGGCCATTTTAATAATGAAATCCCTCACTCAACATTGAAAAATACGAAGTACGCCATATATCCCCATGGCCATATCCCAAGCCATCATCATATTGGACCAAATTCCGATCTCACCACCGCCGGAAGCAATCACCGGAGTCCCCCTTCCCCTAACACTTTTCGATATGGCACCGATGCTAATGCCCCCAATGCATCAACTCATATTCTATCACCACCCCATGGGAAGAATGGACTTTATGGATTCCCTAATTCCTAGTACCAAAAAATCATTATCCCAAAGCCTCCGACATTATAGTCCCTTAGCCGGTAGATTGGTTGTCTCACCTAACAAGACAGACATGCCGGAAATTCGTTACGTGGAGGGTGACACTGTTCTGTTGGTGATCGCGGAGTTCGACTCAACGAACACCAACGGTTTTAACCACTTTGTGTCAAACGATGCAAAAAGTTCATCAGACTTTAATCCATTCATTCCAAGACTAATCCCCGCTTCCCGGGCATTGGATGGCTCACTAGCAATCCCAGTATTGGCGTTACAAATAACACTATTTCCCCATTTTGGGATATGCATAGGTGTGACCAACAACCACGGAATGGGTGATGCGAGTAGCATCTTCGGGTTCATGAAGGCTTGGGCTTTCTTTTCTAACCATCACAAAGACGACAAAGAAACATCACCTCAATTTGTACCAGATTATGATAGAACATTCTTCAAAGATCTTAAGGAGCTAACAACGATTTATTGGGACCGTGTGAAGAACATCTACTTTGATGAAACACATGATGCTCATTGCCTCCCGCGTATCAGTAACAAGGTCCGGTCCACTTCAATCGTGACACGAGATGACATTCAACGACTTAAGAATCACGCCCTCACGCGAGGCCGTGATTTGTTGCATGTATCAACATTTACCGTGACTTGCTCAAACACATGGAGTTGTCTGGTGAGATCAAGACGCCTGACATACAAGGAGGACGAAAATGGTGGGGAGTTAGAAGAAATGGAGAATTTTCTGTGCGCGGTTGATAGTTGGGAACGTTTGGACCCTCCCTTGTCTAAAAACTACTTTGGCAATTGTATTGTACCATGTATAGCTAGCATAAGAGAAAAAAGCTTAATAGGAGATGAAGGGATGATAAAGGCGACTGAGGTGATAGGAGAGAGCATTCGTAGCCAATTATACAATAAGAAAAAGGATGGAGTGTTGAAAGGTGTTGGTGACAAGATTGCTATTATCTCCAAGCTTAACTTCGGTCGAACCTTGACCATTGCTGGCTCGCCCAAGTTTGACTATTACGGGCTCGATTTTGGATGGGGGAGGGCTATGAAGTATGACTTTCCTTCTATTGATTTGAACGAGGCTATTTCTCTTAGTGCAGCCAAGGACCATGAAGGTGGATTAGAAGTGGGCGTGACATTGCCCGTTACACAAATGCACTATTTTACCAAGATATTCTATGAGGGCTTGAAAGCTAGGAGGCTAGCTAGCTTATGATCAGGGGAGGATCTATGTTAGGGCTATGGTGGGCTGAAGCCCGGAGCAAAGTAAAAAAATTATTATTTTTAAGGTATTATGTTTAAAAATTTGCATCCAGCCCATCCCAAATTTTTCTATAGCCCAGTCCAATTTCTCAGCCCAGCCCATAATACAAAATCTTAACATCTAAAAATCTAATCTAAATGTTATACACATCATCCTCATACTTAATAATTGGCACTTAGTATATACATATAAGGACTTTATTGACATGTTCACAACAACTTTTAAAGTACTTGAGTATCTTCAAAAACATTGCTCAAAAGTGAGTTCTTGGGCATAAGTTCGTAGTGTACATAAACACTTTTCATGTTTTGAATTTGTGATCCTTTACTTTCTTTCTTTTTTTTAGTCCAAGGGGGTCTGGGGGAAGGGGGACTGGGGGGAGCCTCGAGTAATCAGGGCTGAAACTCACTCCATTGAGTTTCGCACCCTTGTGTGCCTAGCGGATTTCGAACTCGAGACCTCCCACTAGACACGGTAACCTCACAATCAGCTAGGGTGGAATGCTTGGTTATGGAAATAATGAATTCTGTCAAGGTCTTCGAATTTTTTTATTTAATATCTTGTTAGCCATGAGAGACATTTTTCCATTACACAACCGATCATTCTAGAGGAATTGACAAAAAACGGATGGGAAGGCTTTCTTGAAGAAGTAAAGGAGTTTTGCTCAAAACATGAAATTCATGTACCGAAGTTGAATTTTGAATATACGGTTGGTCATTGCAGAAAGAAACTACAGTTGAACATCATTATCACTTTGGTGTTTTCAATGAGGCAATAGACTTTGTATTGATGGAGTTAAGGACCCGATTTAATGATAAATCAGTAAAACTCCTTTCTTTGAGTGCTTCATTGGATCCCAAAAATTTATATGGGTCATCCAATGTCGATGTTATTTGTACTCTTGCAAGGAATTTCTATCCCGAAAATTTTAGTAGTCAGGACATTCATGCTTTGGAATTCGAGCTGCAACACTATGTTCATGATGTATTCATGTACAAAGTTTTAGTATCTACATTTGTTGAATTATGTGAGGAGTTGACTAAGAGCAGAAAATCTGATTCATATGTTATGATGAGTAGATTGATTTTCCTTTTATTGAACTTAGTGTTCTTTTGCAAAATTAGAATGCTCGTTTTATGCCATGAAACTTCTAAAGGCCGCACTCCTCAACAAAATGGATGATGACTTTATACTGAAAAATACATTACTCTTAGTATAGATATAAACTCTATTGTTGATTGGTTCGTTTTGTTTCAAAGCCTCGTTGAGAACAAATTTAATGGAGAACTCTTATATTTGATTTTTTGTTTATTTTGAAAATTTTCAATGTATTATTATTTAAGTGTTTCAGCCCAGCCCAACATGAAATCCTGGATCCGCCCCTGCTTATGATGGATGACATCATCCGCCACACTATTTTCCGCCGCACTACGAAAAAATACGGGATTTGTGGGATTTTTGGCAGGGATTTTCCAAAATAGGCAAGGATTTTGGCAAGGATATATTAAAAATTGATTGAGTGCAATAAATCTGTAGTCGTATTACTGCCATCACATTTAACTTTTTTTTTCGTAGGTTTTCCCAGAAAGTAAAAGAACTGCTAGAAGATAAAGGTTAGTTTCAACATATAAGGAATAGCTACTCAGATAACTTATATCTCTACTTACAAAATAAAAGCCAACATCTGTTAACTTCATTCTTTTTCCATCTACTTGAGAGCTATTCCGTCAACGGAATCATTCCAAGTTAACGCCTTTTTTTAAAAAGAAATCATGTGTAAACTTAGTGAGCTGGTTTATATTTTTAAGATTGAAGATGTTAGTTAAATTTTTTTGTTCATTGTACCAGGTCAGAATCCTTGTTGATAATAGGGTCCATAAAGTGTCTTCTTCATGTGTTAGCAAATGATATTTCTCTTGAATGAGTTGAGTTGCAAAGCTGCACAATTTGTGCCCCTGAAGCAGACTATGATATCAGGCCTCTGGCATAAGTAATAGATTTTCTCATGTGAATCATCTAGCAAGGTTTAACATAGAAAGTTTTTCACTTTTGTTAATTAATAGTTTAATACCCACTATTCTGATCATCAGAGGTCAAAACCGCTGCACTTTAGCTTGGTAGAGCAAATCCAGTTTCAATTTTATTAAGTTAGAAAGCAAGAAGGATATTTTAGTTCAAAGTGTTTAATGTACTCTTTCTTATTCTAAATTTTGTTTCAGGCAGACAATTACCCTTAACTGTGCTTTTGCAAAAACGTAAAAATAGGTACTTTGCTTTACATAGTCAGTGTGTCACTTTTATTGATTTTCTAATCATAACTATGTGTTAATAAGACTTACGATTTAAAAAAAAATAGGTAGTGTTAAAGAGTTTTGGTATTAATTAAACATGGATCTTTTCATTCTGCTTTTCCACTTGTTTTAAGAGTGATTCGAATGGGAATGGGATAACATCTGTCCCCACATAATCTTGTATATGTATTGATGATGTTGCTTCAGCTACTCATTAGTTTATGCTGAATCCTTCCATTAATGACGTAGTTCAACGTTGATTCTGTGATAGGTTCTATTGCTGAGTATGGTTGTGAAGTAGCGATCACAGAGTATGTATTTCCTTTTGACAGTGCGTTTTTGGTGCTACAGTGTTTATTTTTTATCATTCTTATTTATGGAAGTGGCATATTAGATTGACACCTGAGAGGAAGTGTGACCGGTCTTGGTTTGTGTTGTTAGATGCACTTCTTCTTAACAGGGTTCATTCCAAAATAGAACTCAAGACGTGCCTTTAATTTCTTGACAATTCTCCATGCAGGTGATGTTGTTGGATATTCATATGTTCCGCAGAGAGGCATAGCGTTTCAAGACAATTTAGATGGGCTTAATTGGATAGAGTTGTTTTGTGAATCACATGCGATGATTCTTAAATCACACGCTTTTGGCTAGTATTTTTGTTTACTTGAGTTTCAAAAAGTTGTGTTGTCAATTCATTGTTGTCAGTTGTGTTTCTCCTTAAACCATATCACGTTTATGCAGATCACATCAAGCGAAGAAAGAGTAGTGAAATCAGCTAGAAGAATAAAAATGTGTTTTATAAATTATACTTGTCTTCTCATACTGATTTAGAGATCAGCTGGCATGGAGAAAAATGTGGGATTTATTCAAATTAGCCCCACAAGGGAAAGGCCATGGACTACAGTGAGGTTAAACTAGGCTACTGATGCTGCTTGTTGGCTGTTAGGAAATGAGGTTGTTGCCACTTGCCAGTGAAGTAAGCATCACGGAACTTGGATACATCTGCGATTGAGATGTAGCTAAGTTCTCGAAGTATTACAAATGTTTGATTAGGCCAAAGTGTCAGGTGATCTCAGTTACCACGTTTGAAATTCTTTGCTTTAGCAGACACCACATTTGGTTTATACTAACAATACATCCCTTTAATTAATACAAGGGGGAAATAAATAATATACCCCGAACTTTGCCTTGGTGTGAGCTCCTCACCCCAAACTTGTCCTAGTTTAAAAAATACCCCCAACTTTATTTATTTAATTTTTTTGTACCATATTTTAATTAACAAATAATATTTCTCAAATTATAATATGTTAATTAGATTTCGTTGGCAAAGAAAGATGTGTGATTCCCAAATTAACGTGTGCTTTTAGAATTGATTAAATAACTTCAAAATATCTAATTTATTCAAAAAATATTTCTACATCCGATCCTCCGAATACGCCCCATGCCTCGTTTCATTGTCTCCACTCCTAAAGAAAAAATATGTATAAAATTCACCAAAAAAAAGGCAATAGTCGTCTCATTAAGTACCTCAATTAAGTTGACATTAATGTATACGTATGGACTATGGAGTATTTATTTAAGAAGAATGTTAGAATGGGAATCACACATCTTTTTTTGCCAACTAAATCTAATTAACATATTATAATTTGAGAAATATTATTTGTTAATTATTGTATGGTACAAAAAATTTAAATAAATAAAGTTGGGGGTATTTTTTAAACTAGGACAAGTTCGGGGTGGGGAGCTCACACCAAGGCAAAGTTCGGGATATATTATTTATTTTCCTCTTAATACAAATAACATTAAACTTATGTTTTGTTTCTGTATCAATAACTGCTTTTTGAAATTGCCGGTGATTGTTTTGCCTTTGAAAAGTAAAAGGACATACAAACTCCTTTAAATCAACCATACCTTCAGATGCCCCTATAAAATAATTAAGTACATAGTAAAACAAATAAAATACTTAAATACATGTTATCTATATATATATATAAAAACGGAAAAGTTGGGAGGGAGAATGGGCGGGAATACTGTAGCAATATGTAGCAATATGGGTGAATGATTGTTGGAATGTGAGCATCAATGTAGAACGTATTTGGATTAATAATTGCTGAAATAAATTTAGGCTGCACGAGAGAGGGGCAGCTCTAAAAAGGATTGTTTTTCCCGAAGAGTCAACATACCACTTCTAATAAATTTAGATCAATAAATACACTAGGATATCATTCCCAATGAAAATGCATAAATACAAATGAAATTACTTAAAGAATTGAAGTTCTTGAGACAAACCGGCGACAACAATTATCAAGGAATTAAAGCCTTCACGCCCTACTAAGTGACGGTTAATATTCTATTTGAAGCACCTTTCGTTTTTTCACCCTATAAAAATGGACGATTACAACTCATATCAACACTAATGATCGGCCCCCTATTTAGCAAGAAGCTCCTTGATAGTCTTCAACAAATCTATCTACCTCCATTCGATAAGAATACACAATACGCCACCTGCAAAATCAATGATCATCTATCCAAATATCCAATAGGGATCGATAAGGTAAAATTAATTTTACTCATATGTATCTTATTCTTATATGATTTTTTCATGGTGCTTGAATGCTAGCCAATAAAGCACCCTTAAAGTTTTTTTGGAATGTGTCGTTTCACCTTTTTCCAAATCATCATTTTCATTTACCTCAGTGCCGCAAAGGCTTCCACCGTAGGTAAGGGGGTTGGATGTACGCAGTCTTACCCCTGTACTAAAGCAAGGAGAGATAGTTTCACCTTTTTCCAAGTGATTTTCGGAAATTCATTTGACATTTCTTTTGATCATTTCTGATGAACTGTCGAAGGGGAAGATGTGTAGTGCTTTTTTTTTGGAACAATTGTACTTAAAGTTAGGGGACGTAATCTATATGCCCAACTTTATATGATGTTTCCATCTATTCTATGCTCTAAATGTAATTTGTTTTAATGTACTTCATGTTTAGTAATGGAAAAAGTTATATTTTTCAAAAGAATAGAAAACGTCTACACCTGATGGGCATGTAAAATGAATGAATGTTCTATCCTTTTTACTTACAAACTGACTTTCATAACTTTATCATCAATTTTTAGAGAGCTCACCTTTAGAGGTGCACTCAAAATTTCATAAAATATATTGCTGAAAATATCAGAGATTAAGGATAATACATTGGATGCTACCGGCAAGATTTAATTACCTACTCACCTACTCAATAAATTCAAATTATCTAAGACAACAATATACGAAGTATTTGTAAGCACAGATTTCACATAAACGTGAAGATATGTATTAAATTTTCCCCAAAAAAAGAATGAATATATTGTTTTAAAAGATGTGTTGTATCCAAAAGAGTGTACTATCTAATGTCCTACCCCAACTGAGTTTTGTTTAAAGAACTACACGGGCGACTTTTGCTAATAGTTTAATCGAGATAACTTTCCTTACAAAAAATCTGTTAGACATTATAACACTCTAGATACTTACATAATACTCCGTACACATGAAGTAGACCGACATTGTTATTGATATTTACTACATTTAGCACCTTTCATTTTATGCTAAGCAGAGCAATTGTTACTGATGTAAACCTCTATCTAGAACCTGTGATTTTAAAAAAGACTGTTCATGTATGACGATAAATTAAATTAAAATATAGAGATATACTCCGTACTAAATATTACTGATGTCAATTATTTTGAATACAAGAGTCGGGCTTTAGTTTTCTTCAAGTCGCAATACAGATCAACGGGAGTAGATATGTAGATTGGGTTCAACTTTCAAGCCGCCGAACAGACCAACTATGTTCAAGTTGCCGTCTAAGTGTGAATCGGGTAGAATATTAACATAAATTAGGGGTATCAATTGGAAAAATACCTATTGAGGCATATATGTAGACGTTGACGACTTACTATGTGAAATCAACATCAAATCGTCCACAGGAGTTCAGAAATGAATGAGCAAGGAAAGTGGGTAATTAGGGGTTAGGGTCTTATGGATGTAGTTTTGACATCTAAATTGTGATTTTTTTTTTCAGGTCGGTGAAGGAGTTGCTTGCTGAAAGTGGATGTATGGGTGGTGAAAAGCGGATAAGAGGGAGTAGAAAAAGCCAGAAGATAAAGGCGATCGCTTAGGAAAGTGAAATGAATTAGAAGAAGCCTATAGACAATTATCTGAAGTTTTTAGGGAATTTCATTTTTAGAGTAGTGCATTTTTTGGATTTGCAATTTATTTTAAAAGATGGATAACGAAGGCAATCAAAATATTTCCCGTAATGAATTTAAATTGCATTTTTTACGTTTAAAATCAAAATATTTTCAGTAATTTATGTGTACAAACTAATATAGAATAAAATACTCCCTCCGTAACAAAAAAAATCTTCTCACTTTTCTTTTTCGTCCATAACAAAAAAAATCTTCTCAATTCTAAATCTTCCAATCATACCCTCAATAATTCTGAAATCAATAATTCTGAAATAATACACTATTACAACTACTTTTTTTGGATATATCCTGCATTCCATCACATTATTTCACTATCTTCTCATCATACCCTCAATAATTCATATCCTCTTTCACTTTTTTTAATCTACATACTTTTGAAATGAGAAGATTTTTAAGTTACGGAGGGAGTATATACTTCGTCGCTCTCTTAAAATTCTTCTCACTTATTTTATTGTGTGTTTAAAAAAAATCTCATTTTCATTTTTGGAAATTTTTGTGTGCCTACTGTTTGTTTACTTTTTCTCATTCAACCATAATCACATATTTCTGCTTTATTTTTACTTTCATAAGCTCCTAATTATGTCGAACCAGAAAGAATTTTATGGGAGGATTGATTGTTGTTCTTATAAACCTTTAAAACAAATCGATTTTTATTGCGATTGAGAATATTTGGCCTGGGCCCTATTTGATTCAATGGATTTTTCTCTTTTTATTCATCTTTCAGCATTAAATTAATAACACCGACAATTTGTGCAAATCGTTGTTCAATTTCTGTAAACCTAAGAAAATCCTAAGCAATCGAGGTCATTCAATGCGGTACAATATTATATGAAAAATTTAATTGGATGAGATTCATAAGTTTTACAGTTGTATAAATGTACATTTAACAAAATACTCTTCATATAATTATTGAGCTATGTTTAAGATTTCATTCTTAACTTTGGGATACTATATAGTATCTCCGTTTCTTTTCACTTGCAACTTGGAAAAGTTTACATTGTTCTCATGCTATACTTAGACCGACGATAAAGCAAATAGATCTTTGTCCGCACTCAAATTATTTTTAGGAAAAAAATTACATATTCAGAAACTATATTAAAAGTTTTACAAAGTCGCAAAACCAGAATGAAATTTGCTAAAAAATTGATATATAAAGTAAGAGATTAAAGAGTGATTTGTGTTAACCAGTGAATAGGAAATGAGACAAAAACAGGAGGATGGGGGGAGTATATATTAATGTATGAAACTTATTTTCTAATATTTTTAAATTCGTCTCATTACAAAGTTTCATAATCTGTTTTTATTTTTTTGTTTGTTAATAGAGAATTAAATATAATGACGGTTAAAATTTTTGTACTGTTAACTGGTAAGCGTGAAAATGAGAATATTGAAACCAAAAAAGAATGAAATAAATATAATTAAAAGACTTTTTATTGTGTATAATTTATGTAATATACAATTTATGCAATTAAAAGACTTTAAAATGTTTGGTGAATAATTTATTATTTATAGGAAACAAAATTGAGAAAAATTATAATTTGATGCATAATTTACTAAATTATAAGACATGGGACAAGAACACTTCAACTAATAGTGTATCTTTGAGTTTTTGACAAAAAAAGATGACACCCTATCATTGAGGGCCCCCAACACCGGCCAAACTGTTAGATGAGAGGACGTAAGTTGAACTTTAATTACAAGCTGAACGATAAAGAGTGAGGCTTTGGCCGTGATACTTGCAAAAGCCCTATGCATTTTTAGCATAGTAACCTCTCATCGCAGTTTCCGGGATTCGAACCCGAGACTTATATCTTTTCCTATGCAATTTTATTTTTGAGTTTTTGACAAAAGTATCTCTCCCATTCCAAAGCACCTCCAATTCTCAAAAGATTTACTATTCACAATATATATGTCTTGGTATTAAATGTTGTCTAATCCTAAGAGCTTCAAAAATTTATCATTGCTAATAAAAAAGATATCAAGCAAATATGACTCATCTGTCTTATGTATGTAAGTATCTGATCCTTTGGTACACCTTCATGAAAATTTAAGAATAAAAACTTTAAGAAACGCTAAAGTATAGATGTTTGAAGTTGTATCTTGCCAGGAAGATGACTGGTATACATCCAATTTATTGTGATTTTTACATGTCACTAAATGAATCGGAATATAATTTTCTCAACGTATCACCATATATATATATTACGGAGTATTACATTAAGAACACTCATAGCCTCTCATTACACCATATAATATAATTGGGGAAAAAGATCTTAGTCATATTTTCTTCTAAGAGATCATCTCTTCATCTTTGATTCCTTTTCCCAATTTATTTGGCAAATAAATAAATAAGATTGAAACTTATTTTATGAATTCCAATTAGAAAGCATTTACCCCATCGGTGATAATAATTTGAATTGTGACAAGTTTACTAATACTTTAATTATATTTGTTAACAATTATACTCCGTAGTATACATGATTTGTCTATCTTATAAAATAATTATTCCCGTGCATCGCACGGGTACTACACTAGTATGTATTGGAAACGTTTTCATCCAATAAAAAATACTCCGTATTCACTTAGCAATTTTTTGACTAACTTATTACCGTATTTATTGTGATGATCTTTTCTGTTTTTATAAATTAATAAAAACTAACATGGCATTTTTAAAAGTTACTTCTTATAAAAAGATAATATAAATTTAGACAATTGAATATAATTTCAATTGTTTCGCTGACGGCGACAGCGTCCCGTTAGTCTTGGCGGAGTCTACACTAACGGAGGGCGATTTTGACCGTCTAACGGAGCTAAAAGCTGCGCCGATTTTCACCCGCTTGTTCCGAGATTACCCCTGCCGTCAAAAGCATCTGACGGATCTGCACTGGTTCCTCTGTTAGCGTTACAAGTAACACTATTCCCAAACGTCGGGGTTTGCATCGGCGTGACCAATCATCACGTCGTCGGTGACGGAAAAACCATCTTCGGTTTCATGAAGACGTGGGCTTTCTTTTCCGGCGACGGAGACCAAAAAGTCACACCTGATTCTCTACCGTTTTTCGATAGAACACAGCTCAAAGAAGGGAAAGGAAAACTAGAAACCATTTTCTGGGAAAATCTGAAGAATTTTAAGATCGAGGATACCCATGTTGACCAGCTTCCAACGTTCAAAAACAAGGTTCGTTCCACGTTTTCTCTGAAACGTGGCGACCTCCAAAGGCTCAAGAGCCACGTCATGGCACGACGTCCGGGACTTTCACATGTGACATCCTTCACGGTGACGTGTTCGTACGTTTGGAATTGCGTGATACGGTCTCGCCACGTGGCGGGCGTGTACGCTAATGACGATGAAGATGAGCTGTTTGGTTGTACGGCGGATTGTAGGGCGCGTTTGGATCCGCCGTTGCCGGAGAACTACTTCGGGAATTGCATCACGGTTTGTTATGGATATGCGAAGGTTAAGGAGCATGTGGGTGAGGATGGGTTGGTGGCGGCGGCGGTGGTCGGAGAAAGCATACGTGGCCAGCTGTACAATAACCACAAAGATGGAGTCTTGAAAGGAGCTGAAGATTGGTTTACGCTGCTCTCCACGATTAATATGGACCGTACGTTGAGTCTAGCTGGGTCCCCCAAGTTTGACTATTATGGGTTAGATTTTGGATGGGGGAAGCCTAGAAAGCTTGAGATTCCATCGATAGATATAACAGGGGCCATTTCTCTCAGTGGAAGCAAGGATGAGGAAAGTGCAATTGAGATTGGTCTGGCATTGCCCCTTGCACAAATGGATGCTTTTACCAGATTCTTTGAGGAGGGTTTGAAGGCCTTGTAGGTTTGGGTTTGACCTCGTTGACCTAAAACAAGTTCTTTATTTTTTTCAATAGAATTTTGATGCCCCTGATAAAATAAGTCATGTTATTGTCACATTTTGAGTATTTGAGATTTTAACTTGTGAAGTTAATAAAATATTGGGTTTTCCAATCAGTTTTTTCGTTTATAAGACTGTAAATGCAAACAAAAAATACACGTAGTCCGTAGTATGCTATACATTAACAATTTACGAAAGAATCAAGTGATGGATCATCCCGTTATGAATTTAATTAATATTTCCTCCCGTCGACTTTGGCAAATTACACCGTACAGCCGGCTGTACCGTGCGCATGGTACAGCCGGCCTTTTTTTTGGATTTCCGTCACTTCGCACATCGCACCCTTCTGCACATCGATCGCCGGAATTTCCAGCAAGGCTCAAGAGTTCTGCCTTGCTCTCCCGTTATTTGCTCTGCTTTTTGTTTTTTCATTTTTCTTTTCTTTCAAAGTTTAGCTGCCACAGGTCGCTGCTATGTGGGGACATCTCTATCTACTGGACAGCTTTTGAGTTAACCCTTTTAGCTTTTGGTGGATTTTCGGATTATGGATTTTGCTTGAATACTTAATTTCATTTGATGTATTGATGCTTCTTTATGTTATTATTATTATGAATACATGAGCACATACAAACTTATATTTGAGAACAATATATATATCAAATGAGTATTTGAATTTTTTATACTCATTTTGTAAATTATGTATGCTCATTTGATCTCAAATGAGTTTTATATTAAACACAAATGAGTATATGAATAAAAGAAATGCACATATACAATTGAATATTAAACACATTAAAAATGAGTTTTATATTAAACCCAGATGAGTATACGCCTCAAAGATATGAACATACAACTGAATATTAAACACATTAAAAATGTGTTTTATGTTAAACTTAAATGAGTATAACGTTCAAAATCAATGAGCACACACAAATGAGCTTTTGACTTTTTTTATACTCATGTTGTAAATTATGTATGCTCATTTGATATTTCTTTTATGCTCATTTTAAAATGATTCACATGTCAAATATAACGCCCAAAATCAATGAGCATACACAAATGAAGTTTTGAATTTTTTGATACTCATTTTGTAAATTATGTATACTCATTTGGTACTGGTGCTCATTGTTGGGCTCCTAATACTCAGAAGAATAGAATCGATGATCATCCAAATTACACCGTTGCTCATTTAAGAGAAACCATGAACTTCATCAAAATTACAAAAATGCCACCGGCTGTACGGTGCCAGCCGTACAGCCGGCTGTATGGTATACGCTTCCCGTCGACTTTGCCAAGTGTAAAGTAGGTGAGAAATAATAACAATAAAAAACTGTGTGGTTGAAATTTGTGCAGAGGAGAGAAAAATATGCAGAACCACAAATTAGTTGTTTTAATGGGAAAGTGGCAAAGGTTTTTGGGACATCAGAAAGAGAAAGTTGGCAAAGTCCAATGGGACGGAGGGAGTAACATACGAATTACTTGGTTTGGTAATTACGATGTTTTCTTTTGGACTGAAATTTGTTGGTCTGATCTGGTCTGGTCTTAATTGGTCTGGTCTTGCCTGGTCTGGTAAACGTCTGTTCTCTGTGTATTTTATAACTACGAAAGTATGGTCTGGTCTAACTGGTCTGGTAAACATCTGGTCTCTGTGTATTTTATAACTACGGAAGTCCAGTCTGATTTGATCTGGTCTGGTCTGATCTAGTCTGGGACTGAAATCAGTCCAAAAGAAAACATCCTTTGTTATTTTTCGTACATATTTAGTTTGGGGAATAACATGCTCAGTATATGAGTATCAATTTAAGTGAGAATTCCAATCCTTTCATGATCTCAAAATGAGTTTTTGCCACTTTAGGTCCCACGACTATAATGTGAATGACACTTTTGGTACTCGACTTCTAATTTTTTCATTTTCAGTCCTCAACTATTGTGCTAGAGACACTTTTACTCCCCGACTATAAAGTTTTACACATTTAGTCCGCGAGTATTGTATAATTGACACTTTTAGTCCTCCCATTGTGATTTTGACACAATAAGTGAAGGACTAAAAATGACACTATTTGTAATAGTTAAAGGACCAAAAGTGTCACTTTTATGAAAGTTGAAGGACTAAATATGAAAATTTTTAAAGACGAGTACCAAAAGTGTCTCTAACGCAATGGTCAAGAACTAAAAATGGAAAAAATCAAAGTCAGATACCAAAAATGTCAATGACATAATAGTCAGAGGACTAAAAGTGGAAAAAACTCATCTCAAAATCAATATTTTACTACAAAGAGTTAGAGACTCCATCTAAATAACTAGATTTAAGTATTCAAATTTGACTTCCCCAAATAACTAGATTTAAGTCATGTGATGTCACATTTTGAGTATTTGAGATTTTTAGGCGTCGATTTAATAAGATATTTGGTTTTCCAGTTTTTTTTCATAAATATGTATTTATAACCGTGTGTGTAAATGCAGTCCGTATACCGTGCAACCGGAGCATGGTGAGCACCATGCTCCACACCCCAAAACGACGTAGTTTTGATCAATTTTAAAAAAAAAAAAAATCGCGTGAACAGTACACGCGTGAACAGTACACACGTGAACAGTGCGCGCGTGTACAGTGTTTTTTTCATCCCAGGAGCATGGATGATGTAATTCGCGTGTAATGATATGTAACTCGCGTTCTTGATCAATGTAACTCAAGCCCAAATGAGATGTAACTTGTCAAATACATAGTATACGAAATAAAACATTGATTTCAATTTAAACAATGAAAAAAAAGAGTCTAATTATTATAAATGTAATTCGCGTTGATGACAAATGTAAGTTGTTGAGGTAAGTCCAAATGTAACTCGCTTATAAAAAGATGTAACTCATGTACATGAATATGTAACTCGTTCATAAAAAGATGTAACTCCATGTAACTTAAGATGTAAATTTGTATTAAAGAGTGTAACTCCATTTTATACGTAAAAACCAATTAACCTCATCGATCAAAGCATGTTAGATTAATCTGAATGAAGAAGTTTATACGAAGTATTAATCTGAATTGATTCATAGCAGCCTATTACATCAAAGGAATTTGCTTCAATTTTCAAAACGAAAAGTAGTGCAAGAGAAAAAACAGGAAAGAAAAGTTAGTGGAGAAAAAAGTTAGTGGAAGCATGGGAACTGGGAAGAATAAAATTTTGGGGAAGAAAACCTTGCGTCAGTTGAGTGGGAAGGGTGCTGGAGAAGAAAAAGACCGTGATGGATCTGAGAAACGATTTTAATTGCATATAAGAACGACACTGTATTAGAACCGGGCATACCATGCACATGGTATGCCGGTTGCACGGTATAAATTGCGGTGTAAATGCATTATCAAAACGATTCAAACAAATAACGGAGTATGTTATACATTCACCTTTTACGAATAAATCAAGATGGGTACTTCGTTTAGTAATTGATTTTTTCCGGACATTTAGGAGTATCAATTCAAGTGTTATTTCACTCCTTCATGTCTCAAAATCAGGCTCTTACCTGCAAAAGACTCTCTTTAGGTTCAAATACTCAAATTTGAGAAGACCGCCTTAAAAGAAGTAGCTTGGATTACTAATCGAGGATTGATTTTTTATTTTATTATTTTATCTGAATTTTTTAGTTTTAAACTCCAAATAACTATTACGTATATAATTAGTTATTAGTTAAATCATGTATTTTCATATACTATTTTTTCTTCACTTTATTTGAATTTTTTTAAATGAAAAAAAAAACATATTTTAAATTTAAATATGACTCCTCCCCTCCTCTTCCCTCCGAAATCTCCAACCATATTGGCCCTAAGGGCAACTCCAATGCTAGAGTCCATTGCAGTTCCAAGTCATCAATTGCACTTTACTTTACCAAATCTATTCTCCAATGCAAATATGATGTGGCAATAACAAGGGTCCAACACTAGTTCTACATATGCACCTTCGGTCCGACTTTCTGAGTTCTGACAACAAAAGAATTAGTTTGCTTCTAGTGCATGAACATTTGCTTTTCTCTTCCATCAATTATCTTTTTTATTTATTTATTTATTGTTGCTTGCTGCATTGGAGTACAAACTCAATAGACTAAGGTCCTTTTGTTATTTTTTTTATCTAGACTTTCTCCATTTCATTGCCACATCAACACCAATGCACAACATCATTGGAGAAGCTCTAAGAGATTGAAAATAATTGAGTTTTACTAACAAAATAACAAGATGAAACAAACACATTACTGTTGTGAAATGAAGAAGATGCAGAACAGATTAAAGAGATAGATATAATAATAAAAGCTCTAAATTATTTATTCTTAATATATGCTAATTTCTGAATGAATCTACAAGGCTTCACCAAGCTCCTATTTATAGTGGTTGAGTTTGATGATTAGTCATCTAAAGGATGACTCTACAGATTTGGTGGCAATAACAAATTGAGCCATCTGTTCTAAGTTGGTTACAAGGATTGATGCTAGATTAGTGTCCTGATTACAAGGATGAATAATTCACACCTGTAATTCCCATGATTTTACAACACTCCCCCTTGAATGTTCATCCTTGAATAGTTATTTTGTTATTATGAAAATTTAGTGTGAAAGTTAAGGGGTAAAGATTACGACATATAATGTCGTTGTATTTGGATGTACTATCTCGTTAAAAACCTTATCAGGAAAAACCCAGTGGGATAAAAACCTGATGAAGGGAAAAAGAGTGCAGTGCATTCAAATACTCTCCCTGAATTTAGCATAAATTACGAATGCGGCGCATGCCGATTTTTTGTAATGATTTGGTGAAGAGGTCAGCTGGATTTTCACTGGATCTGATTTGTTGAACGTTGATCGTCCCTTCTTT